TGGCATAACGTCCAGGCTGAGCGACTTTTTGGATCTCAGACTCTTTCTGCCTTTATCTTTTCTTGTCGTGTCGGCCACAGCTACCCCGGTTGGCGCATTGTAGGTGTTAGCATACGGATTGCGTCGTTCCATGGTTTCTGCACGCAGTGACGTATATCCATGGGACGTGGACGACTTGTCGGTCTTGGCAACTGTGTAGAAGAGAACATCGGAAGGAGATCGATCATCAGTTGATCCAGCACTGACATTCTGCTCACTCTGTGTTTGTCTGGGTTTGTAGAGGCTGGTGGAGCGATAATGGCTGCCATAGCCTGGCGGTTCCTGGGGAGTCTCACCAGCTGGAGTACATTGATTGGACAAGTGAGGGAAGGTAGCGTTCGCATCATCGAAATGCAGCTCCAAGTCGGCTTTTGCTCCCTTTCCTTTTGTCGGCGTGTGTGCTGATACTCTGGTGGACGTGGTGTTGGTCGAGGAGACGAGGGTTGAGAATGCCGACGGTATGTCAGGACTGGCTACCAATAGTGACTCCCGTCTTCTTCCTCTCACCAATAGAATGATGATCACAATGAGCAGGATCAAGATGAGTGCACCAGCAGCGCATGTCACATACAGACGCTTCCCTGTGATCAACACTCCTAGATCATCATCATCGCCTTGTCTTGACTTGGCGCCAGGTTGGTCAGGTTTTCCATCCAAACCTGTAGTCTGGGTAGTATCATCCTCACCTGCTGTCTGTACATGGATACCACCTGCAGTGGCCCTCTCTGACATGATACTGGATGGAGTATCAGTAGATTGCGGCGTACGTGGTACTGTTGGACTGGTGAAATATGCACTGAAGGTTTCTGTGGAGTCTTGACTATTCCCAGTTGGCAGTGCAGCACTGGTAGGTATGGAACTAACTTGTGCAGCTGGTCTGTCCGTATGACTACTGATATAGACAGACTCTGCTACAGGTGATGTGCTGCCAGGGCCTGTAGCAGTAGTAGATAATGCCTGTGGCTGTGAGCTAGTCTGAGTATCCTGTCCAAAACCAGGGGCATCATCAGCAGTGCATTGTGAACACCTTAGCTCCACATCCTGGACGTGTGCACTGATGGGAGGATCTGCAAAGCCAATCACATCACCTTCAGCTAAACCATCCCTGCTTGTTGGCAGCTGCGGTTCCACTCCTTGATAGGACAGGCACATGTGTACTTTCATGGCATTTTCTGGCGCTCTGACAAGACTAGTGAGATTGATAGAACCTCCAAGGACTATTGTCGGGTCGTCGTCGCCGTTATGGACATAGTAATGCACTATCCACTTGATGTGTCCTAGTATGACATCCACAGTCTCTATCTTGACTGGAATGTTCATTCCCACACTTGTTGCCGAGCTGGATAGCCAGTCATTCTCCGCTGATGCAGTTGTCGGCCTTGTCTCTGCTGTATCCGCAGTTGACTCGAGAAAGTCATCCAGAGAGTTACTCCTCTTTCGTCTGCGGCGTGCACTACGCAACTCAGCTCCGACTCCCAACTGCCTAAGCACGAGCTGCAGTTTGACGTGGTAACAGTCTTGCTCCGGCTCCGAACTCTCAACTGGTGTGGTTGCTCTTTTCGGCTTGAATTTCATTGTAAGCATCACATACCTACGCCTGGTAGAGGTGCTGTCACTAGTTTGCTGTGCACCGCATCCAGGCAGTGTACTCTGCTGAAGAAGACAGTCACTACGAACCAGAGACAATTGTCTAGGACAGGTGCTTCTCATGAGTTTGTCATCCGTGCTGCATCGTGCCTGGGAGGTTTCGGTCGGCGACACGGCGTCGACATCGACGTGCTGGAGAAGATACAGTGCAAAGCAGAACACTGCTATTGCGTGTTTGCTAACTACGTGGCCGCAGTGCAAACAATGATGCCGCCCCTGGCCGAAGCAAGCTCTACGAGCGATGTGGCTGCCATGCGTCATCATTAGGAAACAAGCTACAATTGGGAAGTAGACCTCTAGTCAATACCAGGCAACAGGACGACCTCGCCCATACGCAAGAACACTATAACGCTACAATATTACCAGCAGAACAGGAAGGTTTTCTGCCAATCCGCAACCGTACAGGACACCATCTGCTAAGGTTGATGTACGTCCAGATTTTCACCCTCTTTTTCCAGGACGTTCTCGTGTTTCTTTGAACCTTGGTATCAACGGGTTCTTCACTTGCTGTACAACGGCTATAACTTATAAGTACTACAAGTGCGAGCCTCTTCGGACGTGCTATGCAGATAAATGCGCTGCACGATCTCACTGATGTATGGCTTCTACCAATGCCAGTGCCTTTTGTCACCATTCCCAGCATCCCTGCGTCCAGGGCCTAGGCCTAGGCTATAGGGTGAGTGTGGTGCGTGTATCAGTCTTGCAGCACACAACACAAAACACGACAGAGCACGCACTAGAGCTAGCAGAGTAGCATAGAGCCTAGGCTAGGCTCGGAGAAAGTGTGATTCGCAGCCAGGCGTCCCTAGCAATTCGTCGTGGAGATGTAATTGGTGAGAAGTGGAGCCTCTCTGCGTCTCTTCAAATCTTAACTGATTGTCTAATATGTGCTGCCAGGAGAGCTAGGCAATCCTGTACTGCCAATAGCACATATGTACATGCACGCATGTACCGATGGACAGAGCTGGCAGTGGTATCCTTGTCCTGGATCAAGGGCCAATCGCATGGAGCCTGGACAAGTGTGATGATCTCGTACAGGAGCACTTAATGTAAGGAGTGCACATGAGTTCTAATGAAGCCCTGGTCGATGGTTGATGTATGGACCCTACACTGATGCTATCAACCATGCTCATGCATATCCAAATATGTCGTTGATTCCGAACACGAAGTTTACGTAATGTCATTTACTGTACCTCCTTGTTACACTGTAGAGTATATCCTGCGAGAGTCAATGCCTAGCCGGCCTAGCGCCTGGCCTACAGCAAGGCACGTGATATCTTCACATGTAGCAGAGTTGTCACTGACGACACAATCATAACCCCACGGTTGTATCCTGCGTAGGTCAGAACGCGTTAACGGCGGGTTTGCTCCAGGAATCATTGCCCATTACAGGCATTAGCATCACGTCTGAATGGGATGGCGCATGCTGCTCTTCCACAATCACTGAATCAGTGACAACAGCTCCATGAAAGCCTCTTGAGATCTTACCTTCCCTCGCGGGCAAAGATGAAAGTTCCCGAACGCACACTTGCATAATGTCTGCCGAAGGGCTACCGTCGTCTCTGTATGTTGTGAACGCGACTGAGTGATCCGAACAGTGGTGGCCCTGGTGCTAGTGGTGGCCCTGGTGGGTGTTTGTGTTCTGAAAGGAAGGCATTGACCCAGTGACAACGTCGACGATGGAGTAGAACTGATGAAACCGGAGAAGCTGTCTTACTAAAGTTGCTGATGTTAGTACCTCTTACCGCTTTGTGGAGTCGAAAAGAGATTATCTCCCACATGAACATGCACAGGTAATGACAGACACGATCCTGGCTGATTCCTGGGTTCTCTGCATTTGGCCAAATTCACTTCCGGATTTTTGATGCCCCTATTCAACATTCCTTTCGAAGAAAGCACGTGCACGCTTGCCCAGCAAAAGCTTCGGTGCATACAGTTTTACCACCTAAAACTTACATGATTGTATGCAGCTTGTAATGCTGTTACATGCACATGTACATGCACATGCAGCTATGGGCATAGAATCGTACGTGTTCATTCAAGCAGATAACGTTTATGTGGGCAAACTTTCTGATACTGATCTGATACAAGTAGAATTTAACACCAATACCGAACTCCGAAATGAACATCTATTTATCTTCATGTACATGTATCAGAATAGAACAATGCGGAGCAACATCCCATGAAGAGCGTTTTCGTTCGTTTGTTGTTGTTGTTGTTGTTGTTGTTGTTGTAGAAGTTGTTTTGTTTCGCGTTCCGTTTTGCGTTTATCTGACCTACCAGTATTGTACATGTACGTGTATTGTAGGGTTCTTGGATGGATACACAAACAATGAGATGATACACTATGTGTGTGTGTGTGTGTGTGTGTGTGTGTGTGTGTGTGTGTGTGTGTGTGTGTGTGTCCCATATGGTGCAGTGGGATGTGCAGCAATTTCCAATCGATAGGTAGTGGGTTCGATTCCCGACGATTATGGTCAGACACGTCCTTCTTCCCTTTCTCAGACTCCTCCTGACTTTTCTTTCATTCTCCTGGGTGGTTACCAACAGCCAGTGCATGCCGGAGTATGTGGTGTGATGTGTGTGAAAAAATGAAAAAGACCAAAAAGTAAGGATTCACTGGCCAGAAAAAGCCACTTCATAATCTGTGTGGTGTAGACTAGGCTGAATAGTGGCGGTCAATTCTTCCGCCTTGCAATCTGTTGAATGGTGCAATCCCAGCACAAGCTGCGATGGCTTCTGCTGTAGCATCGCTATCATCGCCTCCGGCGATGGGCGTCCAATGGTGTGTGTGTGTGTGTAGGTCTGGGACAGAGGGCACACAGCGTTACACGACAGTGATAATCACCGTGGTAGTGCTGTGCACTACGTTGTTACTAATACTAGTATTAATGTTAGTTTTCAACGTTCACACGCACACAAGCACTTCAGAGCCAGACATGTAGACATTGTTCACCGTTCTTCGCGTCAAAGTCTCTTTTTAGTTCCATATACACTGAGTACATGTAATATCGAGTTTAGGTGTGTTTTGGTGGAAGTGGATACGCTCCCATTAAGATGTTAAATGTTAAATGCGCTAAACGATTATAATGAAAATCAAGTAATCACCGTTTGCACCTTTCGTCCAACAAACGAATACAAGTAATCTCCAGAATGGCTAACCAACACAATGTTATTATTCATGTATGCCTGATCATGTGCATGATCAGTGCGTCGAAGAGCATGTACATGTGTACATGTACATGACATTGTACTTCAAAACAAGATGGAGACAATGTCAGTGCAGGTGGTAGCGCTAAGCCTCTTGTATCTGCTCATGCACCAGGGAACGTTGCCTCTGATGCCACACCACACATATTGCCATGATCCTTGGCAAGAAGTAAATATCCATGTTCACCCCAAGATGCACCTACAGGACAACAACAACAATAGGAACAACATTGGTCACATTGGTTTATTGGCCACAGGCCGTCGTGAGAATAACGATTTGAAACAGCAACAACGGTCTAAACTAAGAAAGTGGTGGACATGCGCAACTGCATCATAAAGAAAAGGGCGCTTGTCAACTGACAACCGCTCAATTCAGCTCTATAACAATGGTGAATGAGGAAAATTACAAATTAATTAGGTTTCGAAAAATCCTTAGGCAACTGCCAACTACCTGTACAGAATTGTACATGTCGGGATTGTCTCTGAGGAGAATGGCAACAATTGAGATAGCATGATCTAGAAAGACGTCTCCCTGTTTTTTGGGATGATGCTCTGAGGTTCCCTGCTGTGTGTGTGACGAGTGGAAGTGGAACTTGTTGATGAGTAGATGTCAATGATATCATGTATGTGTCAATATCCAGGGCTAGGGATCACCACTGACACCAGCACAGTATGGTCACTATGATCACTAGCTGTGAACAACACAACTCAAAGTACATCATTGTACTTCAAGGATGGTGAACGTGCAGCATGCAAACAGTAATCACTTTTCCGCTCTCCATGCAGAGAAGAACTGTCAAAATTTAATAATAATTATGGTACAGGATGTCAGGATGGTACAGGATGTCAGGATGGTACAGGATGTCAGGATGGTACAGGATGTCAGGATGCAGCATAACAAGCCTAGGACTGTAGAAGCGAATGAAAACTGCTCCTAAGTAAATACGGTAGTTCAATCATTCGTTTCAAGTGGTGCACACAATATAGGCTATGATACTGCCCGGTGACAGTCTACACACGTACCGGTAGTAACAAGAGTCCATGGGGCTATGGACTCTTGTTACTACTGTTTACTCAAAACGGGTTTAAAACGGGTTTAAAACGGGTTTATTCAAACAATACGACATGGAAAGAAGGAAGAAAACCAAAGATACAATGGATGAAACTCGACCATGTACAGTGAGTACTGTAACAGTGGTGCCTGCACGGTGTTCCAACCATCTCGCTTTCTGACCACCTCCCTTTCCGACCACCTCCCTTTCCGACCACCTCCCTTCCCGACCATCTCGCTTTCCGACCACGTCGCTTTCCGACCACATCGCTTTCCGACCACCTCGCTTTCTGACCACCTCCCTTTCTGACCATCTCCCTTTCCGACCACTTCGCTTTCCGACCACGTCGCTTTCCGACCACCTCGCTTTCTGACCACCTCCCTTTCCGATCACCTCCCTTCCGACCGCTTCGCTTTCCGACCACGTCGCTTTCCGTAAGTTTCCGACCACTTCGCAAACCGGAAAGGTCGGAATTCCCAAGTTCCAGTGTAGTTAATAGTTACACAAGTACTAACTTTAAAGGGGGTAATGTCGTATTATGATTATGACCGACTGGGCCATGGCGCTAGCTCTTGCTAAACGTTGTTTCATTGGATAACGAACTGAGATGTTTCAGACCTTGTAGTAGTTTTATACATGTACATGTACATGTACATGTATGCTAGTCTGCCCCACTGGCACAGTCACCTTGTGCGACACTACTTACTACAGGTAGACTCCCTTTAATTCGAACCTCAAATTGCCAGGCCCTAACTTCGAATTATCCAGAACTTCTAATTATCCAAATGCAGCCCCATGCACTGATATGTATGTCAAAATGCTTGAAATCGCATGCTGAATATATTTTTTGCACATTTATATTTGCGTCAACGAAACATAGGTACGGGTCATGTACCATGATGTACAACGGATCATCAAAACACTGGATCGACACAAAATCATTTTGACATTATCTTCATCTTCTAGTGAAGAAGTTAGTTGTCAGTCACTGCAGCTTTCCTGAAACAATTTCAACGGAAAAGAACTGCGCTGCCTAATCCGCGTCATGAAAGGCCGTTGGACAGCAGCACGTCGTTCTGAAGAACGGAAGTAGAGCAAAGGCATAGACAATATTTACGACAATAGTGTTGTTGTGCGCCAACATCTCCGTGCACGAGCTGGCGCGGTAAGAAAGGCCATCGAGATCCGCGAAGAGAGTCAGCCACCTGGAAGAAGTCGTCTTCAATCAAACCTTTGCAATTTGCCTCGCACGGGCTTGAATCAAATTTCGAGAGAAGGTGGGTTTCTTGAACGCTATAGTCGATCCTGCAGCGGACCATCGATCGATTTTTGAGCTACTCTTGGCTAGAGAAGGAGAAAAGAATGAACTTCGAATTACAAGGATATCAACTCAATCTCACTTCGAAATAAGCGTTCAAAGGACATAGCCAATGTACTGTAAACAGCTCTTCTGTACGAAGACTGGGTTCGAATTATCCAACCGGCGCACTTTTCGTACTTCGAATTATGCATTCGATTTTGACTTGAAGTGACTTGCGCGGTACGACGAAAAAGTTCGAATTACACGGAATGTTCGAATTATACCGTATTCGAATTAGAGGGAGTCTACCTGTAGTACAGTGTACAGTGTACGTAACTAGTGTTTTCCACCGTCTGTAATTGACTGTAACTCTACCAGTATTTTGAACTATGTACTTCTACATTGTATTTCCCACCTTGTGTGATCCTACCAGTATGTTGAACTACTTCTATTTTCCACTTTGTGTGATCCGTTATTTACCCCACATTTCCACATTGATTTCGTTCAATAGTAGGTTTGTGAATGGTGTTTTTTACTTGAAATGAAATCCAGTCGCGTCATCCATGTACATGTACATGTATGGTAGGCGTCGGGGCTGCCCAGCCCTAAACCTGCGAACACTGTGCTTCGAAAAGGTGCAAAGCGCAAACTTGAGTGTCACAACTGCATTTCATTGAGCAGGACTGTAGTCTGTAGTGTAGCTGTATGCAACTGAAGTGAAGAGTGCAAAGTCCACCTGAAAATACTTGCAAGCAAACTGTAAAGTAAAGACTACAACAGACTTCCATCATCGCGTGCGAATAATGCCTCACCCCATGAGTTCTTCAGGATCCAGTAGTTCACTCCATCGCTCGTCTCCCCGAAGCCAACAGCCAGCATGGAGTGGTCAAGTCTTGTTGAACTGCACTTCGCATCCGTTAGAACTCCACCTCTGTACACCCTGAAGTCAGCATCGCTAGCATCTACGGTCACCATTACTGGTTGCGCTGTCACAGCTGCTTGCAGTGCTCGTTCGCTGCCACGTAGAACCTGCACTTCATGTTTGAACGTGAACATTGGCGTACATGAGTCTTTGTTACATGTTCCAGGCTTTCGGACATAAGTGCTGTTACTGCAAAGTCCACCCAGCTTCTGGACGCAGGCATAGATGTTGCCTACGAAATGGGCATCTTGACCGCAGCAATCTATGAGTTCGGCTGCACTGGCGTATTCCAAATGATCCTGATGCTCGATAGCGTAGTGGCTTTCCAATGCATCCAGAAATCCGAATAGCAGAGATGAGGACACCTCACCTTGATTGTGGACAGGAGTTACGACACCCTTCTCTCTCCAATCTACCGAACTTGGGGCTTGAAGCACCGACTGCTCCTTGGATAGGCGAACTGCTTTCCCCATTGAATGAGATGCCACCGCAGTGATAGCGACAGAGACAATCATTATCAGTTTATGCAGCTCCATCATTGCTTGGAAAAGCTGGGGCATGGGCTGAATACGAGTATTATGGTCGTCCTTGTGCGAGCACGGTGTCCTTCTCAAAACAAATCACTAACAAACAGATCTCCAGACGCAAATTGTCCTCTGTGAAGGGCCAACTCTGGTTTTGGCGACTTTGTGCTGGGTTTGTACTGTTGCTATCGATCACGTGCAGCAAACACTAACAGAAAAGTCAAAACAACATCAGTCTCTGGTCTCGTGACTGGTTTGTAGCCGAGACAGCTACAGCACTGGTACCTTCACACATGTACTGTCTGTAAGACTACATATTTGTGGACTTTAACAATCTCCGGATTTTTCTTCGTAAGGGAGGTGAAATGCTAACGAATTTTGGCTTTCTAAACCGGGAAGTGACTTAACACACACGCACAGACACACACTCTCTCTCTCTCCGTCTGTCTCTGTCTATCTGTCTCTGTCTCTCTCCCTCTGTCTCTCTATCTCTCTATCTCTCTATCTCTCTCTCTCTCTCTCTCTCTCTCTCTCTTTCTCTCTCTCTCTCTCTCTCTCTCTCTCTCTCTCTCTCTCTCTCTCTCTCTCTCTCTCTCTCTCTCTCTCTCTCTCTCTCTCTCTCTCTCTCTCTCTCTCTCTCTCTCTCTCTCTCTCTCTCTCTCTCTCTCTCTCTCTCTCTCTCTCTCTCTCTCTCTCTCTCTCTCTCTCTCTCTGTTTCTCCATTATCTGTATGGTAGTGGTAGATTTTCTTATAACCAGACGAGACCAGACGACGCTTGCAGACACCAGCACGAACAATACACCAGTCACACTCCACAACAGTTACGTAGTAGAAGTTGCTCTTGACAAGCCTTGTCTCGTTCCATTATATGACGGGAACTCATCAGAGGAGAGGCAGATATTGAATGACATGGGTTGAACTAAAATGAAATTCAGTGAAACCTGTCAAAGACGACCGCTCAAGGGACCTTCAAGATGTGGTCTCTGTTACCAGGTGGTCTCCTTATCCAGGGTCATTTGACTGGAAATAACATCCTTTGATCCTGGTTCCAGTAGTCTTCTAGGACAGGTGGTCGCCTTACCCGAGTGGTCGCCTTCATTGCAATGATCTAGGTTTGGAAATAAGTAGATATAGATTATTGACCGATTAGAAGGTCTCGTCTTCACATGCTTTTTATTTTTTACTGAAGACACAATCGACTTCAAAAAGAGGTACTGGTAAGAAGAGGGGAGCGAAGTTTTTTATATTTTATATTTACTTGAAAAGCACATAACCACCAGGAAAGCTGACAAAGGAAAAAGACTGTTAGACAAGACAGATACGAGAGAGAGAGAGAGAGAGAGAGAGAGAGAGAGTTGAGGGTATGATTTGGGGAGGACAAGATGCTGAATGGTGATCGCCACAGCGACAGATAGTAGCTGTGCTGGTGAGGCTACAGGCACTCCACTGACCAATAAGTCTCAGCATCGCCATGCCGGCATCGCACCAAAAAGGCAAAAACGGAAGAAATCCTAAGCACAATACATAGAATAATAAAACAATAAAGTAGAAGTCATGAAGTTGGTTGTTCCAACTAGGAACACACGCTTCTTGCCGAACTTGACACTTGACTGACTCACGACTGCCATCCGGAGCACACGAGGAGAACGTCGCACCTTCCACTCGGCAAACCTGCAAGAAAGCACCACTCCCTGCTCAATACACATTGTTTCGGGGAATTCACCCCTCATCAGTTGAGCTTGAGTAGGCTGAGGAAGATTGTGCCTGAAAAGCACCACTTATACTGCTCTCCAGGCCAAACCATCACCAGGGATACAAACTTACAGAGACGCTCTGATGGCAGTCGTGAGTCAGTCAAGTGTCAAGTTCGGCAAGAAGCGTGTGTTCCTAGTTGGAATAACCAACTTAATGATTATTACCGCCGAAGTCGCAACTTCTACTTCGAAGTAAGTTCGTAATAAAGTAGAAGGACAACACAACAATGGGAAGAGCCGCTGAAAACAATCAGAAGTAACCTAAAAAAAACCGGTGCTGGTGGAACAAGCCAACAAGACCGACCTGTGGTCTCGGCGTTACCGCGAGCTTGCGCACCATGAGAATTTTTTTTTTCTAGAGCCTCTTATACGGGCAATCACAGAACATGATTTCACTGGCCTGACCGCGGCAACAACTGCAAAGCAAAACAAAACAAAAAATGTAAATAAATATAAAATGAAACTTTACAATCTGCACACAATGACAACTCCATTTTTGAGATAGTCTCTGTTGATCAGTCAGTATCCGTTACCCGTGTTAGCTAGTTGCCAACAAGGCGGGCTTCAGCAACAGGAACATCTGGAGAGGCGTCATCCATCCCCCTATGCCAGGGAAATGGTGAGCGAGCCCCCGCAGACACATGATGTTAGCACGCAGCAAAGCAAAGGCCAGCCGGCTCCGGATAAGTGAGATATGGGTATGATACCCAACTGATCCACGCTCCTCCATAAGGACAGCCAGCCGCCGATAGAAAGCAGTAGCAGCACGGCCCATACCACCAGTTGTTGCCAGGACAAGTGGAGTGAAACTCGACATCTCCACCTCTCGTACTCGTTCAGCGTAATGGCGTCGCTTCTCAGCTTCGTGCTTGTTAAAGGCAGATTGGATGTGGGCCGACCGGTTCGAAGCTGCATATGGGTTGAATACCCTTACATCAAAAAAGCAGCGTTCAAACCGTCCGCCCCACACCCCGCCTGCCACAATGTCAAGCCGTGCCTGGTCAGTTGATATTGCCGTCCGATGGCGAAACTGCTCACCAGTGACCGGCTGAAGATGAGGCTCCACCGCAACGTTATTGGCCACTCTCCGGAGCATGCTGGCGGTGACGTCACGTACCTCATTGTGGCGCAATGTTGGAAAGCCACCCTTTGGGCAAGATAATGCGTGGCAGAGATCGAAACTGGCCCCACAGGCACAGCTACTGGGAAGACCAGTCAATGGCCAGCCATACCGAAGGGCAATGCCGTCCCGGAACTCACCCTTGGTCAGAGCGAATCCGTGGCGCTTCATCGGCCGGCAAGTCAGCCAACTGGACGCTCCCGGCTGGGAGGCCAATTGGCCAGAATAGGAGAGCTCTGCCGGTGCCGCCGCAAGGAAATCAAGCACTTTGCTCTTCATAGAACGTCTGTTCGCTGCCGACAACTTGCGCTTCGCGGAACGAATACAGTCTAACGAATCGCCAAGGGGAGCCTGAGAACAGATGTGTAACGGATTTCGTCTTGTATTGATTTACGCATGTCATTGTATTTGGTTCTTGTCTTGTAGAGTCCAGTGTCTGATGTCATATGGTCTAGGTGTACGCGCGAGTATGGTGTGATGTGTGACGTTCATGGTATGTGGTGCATGCAAGAGTACGCGTTGTCAGAGTGTGAGGATGTGCTTCCGTCTGTGTGAGAGTAACTGTCAAGTGAATGCTGTACATGCGCAGTGCTAGTTTGGTCTGGGAATGAGAGTCGTGTGTGATTCGTCCGTGGTCTGGTTGTCTTGGTCTTGGTCATGTGTTCTGTACGTATTAGTCCCTGATTGGTCGTCACGATTTGTCCTCTGTTTATTACTGCTTGTTCTTTGTTGATTCTGAGAGTCTTTTCGAGAGTCTTTTCGAGAGTCTTTTCGAGAGTCTTTTCGAGAGTCTTTTCCCGGGAGTCTTCCCGTTGTCCTTTTTGTCCTCACCAAGTTTGTCTCTCTCCTCCTGCGCCCTCGTCATTTCTTGGTATAATATAAGAGTATTGAAGATACAATCAAGAGTTTGCGTTGTTGTGTGGCGGGGGCCAGGGGGAGAAGCACCACAGTTACAGATGCGTTCCACCAGAGGCGCTGTGATGGCCTTCGAAGTGGTGTACTGGAGGTTTAGAGTGGTAGGGACTACAATTCCCAAGCCACCATGGCGGCAAGTAAAGGAAACCATTTCTCTCTCCATTTCATTAGGGTGGTATCCAGTCACCATTGGGAGGAGCTTGTGATGAATAGCCTCCTCCAACGGCTTGAGGGCTTCTGCAGCACCCTCCACGGTCCGGCAGAGAAACGTCCATTTACTCTGCAGCCCATTCACCAAAGCATGGTAGGCTGCCTGTGGCTGCGACTCAGCAAACTCACACAACTTGTTCACCTGCCCGAGGAATCCACTCACTCTGTCAGCAAGGTATTCCTCGACGAACGGAGCAGTGCCGAGGGCTGCGCCAAGATGACAACAGCCATCCATCCTCACCTGAACGCCTGTGTCAGCGAAGAGATCAAGGTGGACGAATGGATGGGGGAACTGAAGAAGCTAGCAGTATTTGCACAAACCCAGCCGCAGGCTGCGTATTCTGCGTATGTGACGGGCCTCAGGGGTAGATGGGCGTTCCTCTGTCATACCATGAAGGTACCCGAACCCATGGTCCAACCGCTGGAGGACATTGTAAAGTCTGAACTGATTCCCGCCTTAACTTGCCGTGCGCCCCCAGGCGACACCCTCCGACGGCTTATGGCTTTGCCGTGTCGTCTGGGTGGGCTCGGTTTGATTAACCCTGTGTCCCTATGCCAACAATACGACTCGTCGGTTCGGATGACCAACCCTTTGTCTCGGAGAATCTTGTCAGGGGATGGCTCCATCGGTGACTCGGTAGTGTTAATCAGATCGGCCAAGAGAGACGCCAAGGCATCTTCTCCACGTCATCAGAAACTGGAATTCGACGCGATATCGGGCAGTGCGTCGGAGTCGCTACGACATGTCATAGACGTCGCGAAGGAGAAAGGGTCGTCGAGCTGGCTGACGTGCCGTCCACTTAAGAAATATCATTTTAATTTAACAAAGGGAGAGTTTTGGGACGGACTCTGCCTCCGTTACGGATGGACACCGGCCAGGGTACCGTCACACTGCTCTTGCGGCCAAGAGGCAACTGTCGCGCATTCCCTGTCGTGCCCCTATGGAGGGTTTCCCTCCATTAGACACAATGGTATTCGGGACGTCACGGCC